TATAGCTCTCCCACTCCAAAGCTATATCAGAGAAAACAGTAAAATCTCTTCCTGTGCTGTCTATACTTTGCATAATACACTGAACTGTACAAAGTTGGAGGGTGCCCATGACATTTAAGTCGCACTATTCTGCACAGCTTCAATACACCTGAGAAGTATCAACTCCATTCCAATCACAGCTGAACAGATGGATAAAAGTCACTGCATTGTAAACCATTTAACACACACACACACAGAGCAACTAAATCCTCACAAACACAAATGGACAAACAAGTTTTTGGTAACAGTTCCTGAAGATCTACAACAGTTCATCACAAAAACAACATGTACATAGATACCAAGCCCAAATGATGATGTTTCAAAAATGTTCTTCATTAATCAATTGCTCATCAGTTTTAAACCTAATTAGAAAGTTCAAGATTAAAAAAAAGCACAACTTTGTTTAAAGTAAGAATATGCTGTACTCCAAAACTTACAGTAAGAATATATTCATGTCAAAAACTAGACTTTTAAAAGAGGAAAACACATCTATCAATTGTTGACATTTACTTTAAACACTTCTTAGTGATAAATGTTTGTTTCTTATTCCATTAAATAAGAAAGATGTGTAATCCATGCTGGGGTAAAAAAAAAAAAAAAAAAAAAGAGGACAACCAACAAGGAAATTTCCATACATTTTTAAATACAGGTTTCCTCCAGATTGAAGAATAAGCATACAGTGCCCCAGGAAAACACAGCAAAAACATTAATTTTCATTATATCTACATTGTTTTCATCTACCAAAACCTTTCAGAAAACCAGCCTCTATCCAAATTCTTCGATACCCACACAGCAAAATGGTTTGTTTATAAGTTTGACAGATCACACTATAACTCATGTTTGGTGGTTTCTTTTCTCCAGAAAACATTTCTGTTCATGTATTCAGAGAATAATTGGTACACAAAAGACTTCTAAAAACATGAGAACAGCTGGGTACTTCAAATTTCCAAAAGCCAAAAGCCAAATTTTCCAAAAGCCACACGTTTATATGAAAACACAAAGGTATACCTCCTGATGTAAACTCCTTTGCTGCATTTCTACCACAATATATGAGTTACCTCCATAGCTTTGATGTTTCAAAAGATAGAGAGAAAGAGAAAAGAAAGGTTAACCAGACCTGAGATTTATGTAGTTAAGTGCACTGTGGGTAAGGACAGCTTCACAACTGTCAGAGGAGCCCTCCAGAAGTTCTTCCAAATCAGAACTTCTTAGCTAAGATTATAACTAAGAGAATTACACAACAAAAAGATCTCTGGTTTGAAGAGGACCTTTTTAAACATCACTAACGTATTGTGTTAAAAATACACGGAGGGGATTTTTTCCCAAATCAGAAAAATAGACGTGCGATGATTAAGTTTTAGACCTTACAGACAGCACTTACAATTAACATTTTAGCATTGCTTGAGCAGTTTAAATTACCAGAATAGAGTAGCTCGGACACGGTTTTATTTGGTAGGTTGCATGTTTGCTGTTTTAAGACATTTCTGCTTTTTCACTTCTACTCAAATATGAGTTCAGTTCAGACACACCGGGGCTTCTTCATTCAGTACTTTGTCCCAGTACAGTCAAAAAAGTTTGTATTTTTCACTTCGGATTTAAATGAAGGCTTCAATCCAGGTCTCCAGAAACCACAGATTCAAAGTTAATCAGTTTTAAGTTGATGTCCCTTCCCCATTTAAACTCACAGAGGATCAGTGGCATTCAATTCTTTCAAACAGTATCTCTGGAAGAAGCGATCTTCTTAAGAGAAGCTTGGTAAAACAGAGTTTTGAGCTTTGATCTTAGTATGAAATTATCCTCCCATTTGTAGAAAAGTTTTTTGACATCTAGAGCACATGGTTTACTTGTGCTACCATTTATACATCCATACCAACTGCTGTTCTCCAATTTCCCCAGAAGATCCACTTGGGCTTGCAACAAAGTTAGAGCAGAAAAGACACGTTCTAACATATGCACTCAGAACAACAACGGACTAATCACTTTGGACAGTTATTAATACCTGTGAGGTAAAATTACAAATTAAATGAAAAAACACCATTTCTTAGTTGGCTGAATAAGGATACACTTGATATTTTCTATGCCATATGACATTAATAAAAACAGTAAGTCACTTACTAGTAAGCCTTCTAGCCTGTTTCAATTTGATTTTACACTGGAAATTCAATATTGAATAGTTCTATTCTTTCTGGGTTTTACCTTCAATTGTGCAAGATTACTTCATGAACACCACTTTCAGAACTGCAGTCCAATGACCACATCAGGTGTTGACATTCCTACTATCATCCTCATGTGAAAGGACATTAATTATTACAAAGTTAAATTTGGAAAAAAGTCACAAAAATTAGACATTCATTATCTCTAAGTGCTTTCAGTTCAGTAAATACTACATCTTAAAATGAAGACGTTGCAGGACATTAACTGCATCTGTAACATAGATGAACATTTTCAGTCTTGTGAAAAGCAAAAGAATCAAGTAACTGTTGCTCAAAGAAAAGAGAGAACATGCCTTACTGCACATGCAAAAAGAGTAATTGTCCTGGTTTCAGCTGAAGATCTAATAAAGTCACAATGTTCAGTCAGGAAAAAAAAAAATTATTGTAGACCATTATTGGAACCAGGAACTGGGCTCCATGTTTCTGTATAATTATTCACAAATAGAAAGGCAGTAACACTGATATTTTTTAAACTGCCATATGTGATTAAATGCTCTTTCAAAACAGCCAGCAGAGAGCAAACAATGCCTTTATATAAATCTATTAACTAAATGCTGAAAATATCCACAGGTCAATGCCATATCCAAAGTCAGCTAAAGCCCAACTATAAACATAGCTTAGTTTTGCATTCCGGACACAAGACAACAGATGGGAGTCATACTGAAAACCTGGTGTTTAGCCTCAGTCCATAAGGGCTGAAGTACGCCATTCTCAGCCCCTCGTATTTTACGACCAATCAAGATTCCTTTTAGCAGCTCGAAATCACTCAGAATTCTTTCACTGACAATGAAAGCAAGCTGATGGGTGCTGTAACTTTTGCCTTTTACTGCTGAAGAAAATGAGTTTGCACAACCGACCTATTATTCTTCATCACTTTATTAATAATTTAATTTTTGTGACATACTGCAGGCTAGTTCGCTTAGCATTCCTTCTGTGCAAGTGGTCCTCTCTCATCTTCGTGAGGGCAAGAAGAGGTAGGTATGGGGGATTACTAATCTGATTCTCAAAGCATTCATCAATCTTGGAGAGATTTTTAATGGATGAGCGTTCTAAACGTCTGAAGAAAATCAGATCTGAAGACATTAATGGATTAGCTGTTTCTTCAAAATTTACATATACAACAATGGCATAAAAGGCCAACATCACATTTCTCTGTGCAAATCTGTGCCAAATCACCACGTCAAAAAGGGCATTAGACAAGAAATACCCTCCTAATATTAGAAACTCCTTGGCATAGCTGACAAGAGTTGTATAAAATACTAACAGACGCCACAAAGACTAAGTTTTATATGTAGTTTCACATTGAAATATCAGCACTATCTGCAATCCAATCATTTTTTTGAGAGGAACTCCTCAGTCTGTCTCTGTCTCCTTTAACTCCCCATTGACCCTTCTGAAGCAACTCTGTCTCACAACATACAAACAGGACAGAACCTAAAAGCTCTTTATAATATGCATAAGTTTTACAAGTATCCATAAAAGTCAAAGAATCCTAGGTTCAGATGCCTTAGAACATTTTCGGAAACAATCTTTGATGCATGAGACTGATTAGACTGACTTCTGAAGTTTTAAAGCATCTCATTGAATCATCAGTCAGTTCTGAAATCCTCTGAATGCACTCTTAAATACCCAGTTTCAGGCTATCTGGAATTAATCCTTACCACTAATTGTATCCTAACCTGTTCACACCCAACATGCTTTTACCAACAGCTGGAGATGATGCAGAAGAAACTGAATCGCTCCTACATTACAGTCTTCCTGTTTCAATGTTAGAGATCAAAAAGGCAACACATTTACCTCTTAAGTACAAAGGTCACCTCCCAAGTGCATTCTGCTGCAGTAACTTCCTGAAGTAACTTATTCTCTGGTACATGAATGCAAATATGAATTACCACATCCAGAACAACACTTAAGTAAATATTCAATAAATGTGTTTTTAAAAGTAATTAGGAAAATTACTAAATTGAAGTCCAGGATTCAAATTACATCCGCATCAAAAAAAATCACTGATACCTTCAAACTAAGCATAAAGCATAATTTATTATAAACTGTTTTCATCTAAAACTCAGTGTCCTTTATACGATCTTGTTTGTGATTAAAATATAGCAACTAACATTAATTTCAGTATTTCCAACCACATAAAATAAAATATCTTTATAAGGCTAATCTAAAATTCTTAGATCTGTTTACATTTGATTTCTGTATCTAAGACCTAAAGAATCTTCAGAAAAATCTGACACTACACACTGTCCTGTTAACACTCTGTTTTTAATATGATTTCCTTATAAAATTTGTTTACAGTTGCTAAAATGACTATTTTACATGCATAAGAATTACACAAGTGGACTGTCATAGTAAGTTACAGGAGGAGACGGACTAGTAGATTCTCTTTCCTACAGAAGACATTTATTTTCCTCAAACAATATTCCAACTTGGTGACAGGAAATCCTGCAGATTGCATGTGTTAATTTAAAGGGTTTAAAATATAAAGCTACACTGCTATAGTGGGACATACTTTAAATTTTTTAAGTCATTTTAATTAGCTGTTCTGCCTGCAAAACTAGTAAAAATGAAAAAACAGCCAAATGATTCATTCAGATTCATTCACTCCTATCTGATGCTTGCTGTACTGCCTAACAATTTGAGGTTGGACCCATGGCAGGATCTCTGAAGTTTCCAGCTGAATCTTAGTCCATTCCACCACAGCATTTACTTTGCTCAAGCAGCCTTATAGTTAGATCAGCGTACCTTCAGAGTTCAGCGTAATAAGCGTGACATTGTTCCCAATGCTTTGGCTTCCTAATTGTCCACTGTTGGAAACTGAGTCACTGGCCTCAGAGCCACTCTCTCCATCTTCATTGTGACTGTCATCGTGCCCTGGAACTTTCACCACTATGGTGTTCTGCCTACGTCCAGGAACAGCGCTATGGAAAAGAAAAGTACAGAACTTTGGGAAAACACAATCCTTGATCAGGAATAGCATCATAAGGGAATTCAAAACACTGACTAAATTAAATGCATTATAAAAGCATACTCCTTCACACAAACCTACTCCTGTTTGTAATTCGGAGCTATCCAGCAAAATAAAATGGAATGAAAATAGCAAAAGAAATAAAAAATTTTAGATGCACGCTTTCTAAATTTGCATCAACGGAAAAGTCTAGGCCCAGTGTACAAAACAGAAAATAGCTAAATAATTTATAAGACCGTGTTATAAAACAGTGTTATTTACAAACATTTTCTACCCAGAATCTCCAATTCCACTTAATTTAAAATTTGCTTTAGATAGTACAAATTCTAACAAGCCTTCCTGGGCTGCTGCACATTCCTTCTTCAGTTGGTTAAATACAGGATCTTGGCATGTTCCCAAGTGACTGTGCATCCGTGTAAAAGATATGTAGCTACGGGCACTCTTTCTTTCAGCCATCAGCTGTCAGCTAACATTGAACTAATCCCAGATCCTCCAAGATGTTCTCTCCCCATCGAGAGTGAAGCGTTGCTCTGTACCTTTATTGCTGATAGAAGGTTTCCCTAGGCAGAACTGTCAGCCTAATAAAATACTCAAGTACTGGTTCAACATTTCTTCCCCCCCGCCATTACCTAGAACATTCTCCATTTTGCATTTCAAATTGCTGCAGAGACTGATATTCATCAGTCAAAGGAAGGAATGAAGGGGAAGGATTCCCGTAACTGCTACTAACTTGCTAAGGATATTTTCCAGAGAATCCGCTGCTCTGCTCAATGGCTCTTCCTGCCCAACCATCTTGGCTACAATTGAATTCTGCCGGTCGTTGTTCAGTATTACTGTGGTCTGAGGGACAACACTACAAGACAAAAATCAGAGAGGAAAATGGAATGTAAAGAAGCAAACCTTATAAATAATACATTAACACAGTCTTATGGTTTAAATAGTCTACTTGAAAACAGAGACTGCCTCTAAGTATTGCTCTTTCTCCCAGCATCGTGGTTATGTATCAAATGCTAAAGCTGGTAATCCATCCAATTTGACATGTACCATTTCAAGTACTCATTTTTTTTCAGAGGATAGATGGCTTCATTGGAATCATATAAAAGTCCACGACCCCCGGCAAAGCGATAAAGAATTCATCAATTCAAGTTACACAGGAGGAAGTCTGTAAATCACAGCTCCAGAGAGCCACCAAATTGTTGTTTTGAAAAGTCTGAGAGTGAGCATTTTCAGAGATACTATGGCCAACTTACATGGTAGTGCACCATTTTTAGTAGGATAACTCCCATGGGAAAAAAAATTAAAAGTATTTATTGCAAAATTGGATGATGAGCTTAGTTAAAAAGCATGTAGTGTCTTCCAGGGCTGGGGGCTTGTGGAGGGCAGGGAGATTAGAGTGGTACTAGGGGCATCAGAGCAGATCAGGGACAGACTGTGACTTTAAATAATGACAAGACTAAACTATTTCTTGTGTGCATTTAACATACAAAAAAAAAAATCCAAACCAAACAACAGAAAAGCATTTAGTGTGTGAGAAACCAGAAAGCCTTCTCTGTCCCTTGTGATGACAATGTAGAAGGAAGTAAGTAGAGAAGCGCTGCATAGAAAAATGCACTATAATACAAAAGTAAATATGAAGTAAATTGTCTCCAGCATGCAGCTTATCATTTAATTTGGTTTCAGATATTATTAACATTATTCCCACACCATTACTCAATATTCTAAGGCATGGTTTTGATATTTAAGACTATTTCCACTGTGCTCATGGTAAACTTAAGGAAAGAACTTAGAAGAAAATTTGTGTTTTAGTGACAGAGAAGGCCTTCTTCGTTCTCTTTGCTTCCCACAGTGAATAGTCCACTATTGTTTTTACTGGTCCAACATCTCAAACGTGACTGATAGTCATTTATTTTTCCTAACTGTGTTCCTTGGCTAATTGTTGAAACACAGATTAAACAAATCTGATGACAGCAGCTCTGTTTATTTCAGCTGTAACAGAGCGCCTGCTTGCTTGAATATTCATGTGTCTACATAAGACTTTAAGCGCTACAATATCCATCATTAAGACCTAAAGAAAAGATAAGAAACTGTCATAAGAGTTAACAACAAATGGATCTCATCTTTGGCACAGATAAAATGCTTGACCACAGGTTTTTTTGGATACAGAAAGCCCCAGGCCTAATGCCCTGCCTCCCTCTTACAGTAACTGCATCTGTTGCTAGCAGCAAATGGGACTCCTCATGGACTGCCAATGATCTGTTGGAGTGCAAACCTTGAGAAGCTCTGGAAGATGTTTGTCTAATCAGACAAGTACAGCGTGTACTATAGCTTTCCATGTGTATGTGAAGTTCGAACTGTATTAGGCAACAAATGGGGGTTTTCAGTTGGTTTATTTTAGTTGCTATCAAGAGCATAAGGGTTTATGATGTTTTCATAGTCATCTTTTCAAAATTTTCTCCATTATCAAGGGAAAAAAACTCTCATTTTTTATTTAAAAAAAAAAGCTAATTTCTGTCTATTTTCTCAATGCCAGCACTAAACATTTAAAAAAAAAAAGCCACACCAAATACTTGATAAAATACTGACACGTGGCAATGCTGGCAGTCGCCCCAGTTTAGCAGCAATACGTGTTCTCGTTACATGTCTGAAATTGTCCAAATATCTACAGTTGAAGTTTTTACAGGCCAGGATAAAATGTTCAAGAATTCTAAACTTCCTTTTAGACTTCCTGTTCTTTATCACCATCTTTCTTGCAATCACTTCTGAATGCCTGTTTAAAATGTCACTTACCAAAGCTTATTTTTAATGAACACTCTGAATAATTAATTTCAGCTATAGAGATAAATGCAATAAAATTACATTTATGAAGTCCTTAGGATTTTTCACATATTTAGGTTATATTTGAAAAAGAGTCTTAGCACTAAAAATTGGCATAAAATAAGAAAGAAGTTGGGGGTTTTCCACCCCAGGCCCCCTTTTTTTAAGGAATATTCATTTTTAAGGAAGACAATCTAGAGATTGAGCTGGATGGCATACAGCTAATTTAAGCAAATTTAGAATAAGGAAATACTTTTATACAACCCAGCAGCACAGATTTATCCCCTCTTCAATGCATCAATGTATGTTCAAGCTTGCTTACTTCAATGCATAAACTTTTTCTTTTCTTTTTTTTTTTTTCCAAATTTATGCCCAAACAAACACCGATGGAAACACTGGCTCCTCTCTAAGAATTAACTTTTCCCAGTTAGCAGAGTGGATTATTGACAGGAAAAATCCACCTTCACAGTTGTTTTGGGAGGAGCCACTAACTAAACATACCATTTTACTGACATGTATTTTCCTGGCTATACAGCACAAAAGAAAAAACAGACACCACACGTACAAGGAAAACCTCTGTAACAAGCCACAACTACCACCAAATTGTCCATCGATTGTTTTACATTTGGAAATGAACTGTTATCAAGTTGTAAGGACTCAAAGAATCTATAAAGCAGTTTGGAGAGAAAACAAGTCACACAGCACAGTGGTAGAGAACAGCTAAAATAAGTCTTTGGAAGTGTTCAACACAGCACAACAAATCTACAACGACCAATTAACCTTTCTCTGTGATTAACCTGCCTGAGCAGGAGCTCTAGTTGAAAATAACTGAATGAAGTTTCTTGTCTATTACCAGGAATCGTCAGTGTTGGGTAAAAGATTATTTCTGTGTTCTGTATCTACCAACACAAAGACTCCAGTAAAATTCACTCAATTCATTTTCAGTCTTAAAGGAGAAGGCATTTATGTTTCATGCTTAAGTCCTGAAGAACGATGCTTTCAAAAGCAGCCTGTATGAGGAGGATGAAGTCACCTTTCCATTCAAAACATCATACATGTTTACCAAGAAACTACAATTCTGGTCCATGTTCTACATGGAACAAAAATGGCTACAGAATTTGCTGACAAATTCTGACAACGAGGCATGAGGCCAAAATTTTTCAGAGCTAATGCTGTGATACTTGAGCAGTTACTTATCTGGAAGAAAAAGAAAATAACAATTGGGACCAATACAAAAAGGCATCATTACGCTTGAAAAAGGAGAGTTTCAAAGGATTGTCTTAGACTGCAGTTTGTACACAGGAGAAACAGATATCCACAAGAGTCCCTGCAGATATGGGAATGTGCTTCCCATTAACTTTCCTGTGAGATGTTCTACTCTCTGTTTTCAGATTTATGTATTTATTTTATAGAGACACAATAAGAAATCTGCTCAATATACACGAAAATAAACAAGGAATTCTATGTAAAGTCAAAATACTGGGCCAACCTGACAAAATCCATCAGAAGAAATCGTTAAAACTTATTACAGCCTAGTGCATCCTCATACTGGATTATTCTAATTTCTTTTTTCAGTCTGTACATCTGGTACGGAAGATGAATCAACTTTAATCATTACTTATGTACTAAAATACAGAGAACAAAAGTCATGCAGAAGGAGGAAAGCTTCTGATATTCAGTCAGATCCCAAATGAAGCAATTCTTTCTATGAGTGCTGCCAGTACTATACTCATGGAGAAGATGGAAATAAAGCATTAAGAAGGGTCAGGGGGAGTGCTTCAGAAACCCAGTGTTGTTGCAAAGGCTTCAGTACTTTCCATCTGTGTTCACGTATTCCTTTCCCCATAAGCATTAGAACTTGGAGAGACTGGTTCTGCAATTTGCCTATTCTTGGACACAACTTAGTAAAAAATGTAAAATGCATGCATCCTACAGATATTACTATATTTTGGGAATTTTTTTTAAATGCAGTTGACCAAATAAGCTGTTAAATTACAGGTGAAAGTATTTCTAAAAAAAATAAGCATACCAGATAATGATTTTCAAGCATGCATATTTAGCCTTCGCTTTTTTTTTTTTTAATATAAAAGGATGTTCTATATTTTGCATAAGAAAATTGCTGCCAAAGGTAATTTTCAGTATGGAAAACGTGTGAGTCATAGATATGATCATTAGTCTTAACTGTTGGTTTTTCATTGCCAATAACCTGACAATCACACAGAATGCAGCCAATGAAATAAAAGAACTTTTGGCAATACCAGAACCATCATCTCCTCCTCTTCCTAAATGAGGTTTTCATTTAGAAAGAGAGAAAAATAAAGCAAAAAAGAACTAACTGACATTTCTATCTTCCACAAGGTACTGTATCAAAAGCATTTCTCCAAATGGATGAAAATTAGTCATGGAAAAACTCGGACTGAAATTCTCAGACAAGAAATGATTCTTCTTGTTTTCCTAGACACACCTATATAGACCAGTTAATGGAATATTTATAACAGTGCTCAACCAGTTAAAGAAAAGAAAGAAGAGAGTCCTCTGTTTAGACCATTTCTGAGCCTCCTTTGCACATGTGAACATCTGCAAATAAGTGAATAAGAGCTCGGAGACAGAGCTCAGCTTAGAGCCATTCAGCTAGCCACAGCCACATGAACTCCTGTTTCCTGTCTGTATAATACTTTGTGGTCACTGCAACGCCCACACAGTGTGCGCTGCTTATCTGGAAGGCAGGGCTCCTGAGGATACCATTCTCATCTTCCTCTGGCGTATGTACGAGAAGGAGATGTAGAGAGATCAGGAAGGCAGGAGTTGGGAGTTACTGCTGGCAGACTGCTTGTACTGAAGGTCTCCAGCCAAACACAGCCTTAATGAAAGCAAGTCTGGGAAACAGACCTTGAACTCTAGTATTTTCCAGTTTACTGCTGGAGATTAACCTGAAGACTTAAATGTATAGCTCATGCGTGTATGTGGGCTCTGGAAGAATATTACAATTAGCCCTACCATGAAGAAAATTTAAATGTTTTTCAAATTATATAGAAAAAT